AAAGGAACTGCTACTCTTTTGCATTATTTAGCATTCACCATTGAAGCGAATCAGAAAGAACTTATTACATTCATGGATGAATTACCACATGTGGAAGCAGCAGCAAGAGTATCTGTTGTAACTGTAATGTCATCAGTAACTTCTTTAGTCACTGGAGTTTCACAGATTAAAGAAGAAATGCGCGTTCTTAAACGAATAAGACTTATTCCAGTAAATGATAGATTTTTAGAAGTGATGGATGTAAGTTCCATATGAACAATTTAGAATTTAATTCATATATATGATTTTTCAATACTTAACTAATTTTTTATATTTATTAATTAAAGGATTTTGTTATACAAGTGGAGTCCACAATTAAAAGGATCCAGGAAACAGCCACAAATTTGGATAATGAGTTAAAGCAAATGTTAATTTATTATGGAGAGGATCCAAAATCAATAAAACCCGAAGACTTTTTTGGATTAATTGTTTCATTCTCATCATCTTTAATGGTATGTTTATTCAAGTATTAATCCTAGTTGATTATAAAGAAATTTGCTCATGTTATTAAAATTATTCGCATAAAATAGAAAGCACGTAAAGAGAATGAAGATGCTCGAAAGAAAGTAGAGAAAGACAAGGATAATGCGTTAAAACAGGTTAAAATTATAAATATATTTATTTATATTAAATTTGGTCATAATTCTTGATATTAATGTTATATTCTACCTGTAGACGAATAAAAAACCATCAGATGCGATTAGCATTGCTTCATCAAATGACGCGCAAGGCGATTTCGATGATGCAATTCGTGAACTTCGATCAGGTCTTAAACGTAATCGTGGTAGGCCTGTATCAAAAGTATTTTTGGAAATCACTGAAGAACAAAATTTCTAATTGAAAAACATTATCTTATTTATATATCATAACTTTTTTTTTATTATTCCATCTCCAATTTATTTATCTTAATGATTGAACTCTATTTATTCAATATTAAATGAACATATTGCTTTTCTTCCATCATAATACACTAAAAAATAAATTTTTTTTTTTAGTTAATGTCTTTTTATATAAAGTATTGTTAATATATAGGAAATTCTTGATCAACATCTAAGGACCATTTATATAATCCTCCAATAATATCTTTAATGTCGCCTTTCAATTCATTTTTTAATATTTTCACTGCATGTTGTGAATCATTTCCTAATCGGCAAATTACATATACTATTTTATATATAGAATAAGTATCAAAAAAAAAAAATCAAATAAATCGAATAAAATTTAATTTTAATGTTAGGATAAATTTAATAATTTACCTGGTGTGTTGGGTTTTTCTAGCGAGTTTTTTACTTCTTCAATCTTTTTGGGGAGATCGTTCAAAGGAATATCTGTTTGATTAAAGTAATATTTCTTTAAAAAAAAAAAATTCAAAATCAAAATACGCGTTATGTCATTACTTACTAATTGAATTAGGTAAACTGCAAATATTATATTGTATCGTTTCCCTCACATCAATTAAAACATGAGATATACCTTTATTCCGCAAATCGTGATATATCTAATACAACATTGTAAAATTAAATAAAGAATAATTTTTTTTAAAAAAAAAAAAAATTTATTTTATACCTTGGGTTCAATCCTATTGTCATTCCCCAATACCTCGACCGTAGGTGACTAAATTGAATTAAAAAATTTTCTTTTTTATAAATATATTTATATTTATATACATATATTTTTTAACACGTTTAATAAAAAATAATCACTTTATCTAATGCTCCACTACCACAAAACTGAACATAATCAATCAATTCAGTTATAGAAGGGTGTTCGCCACATACAGCACAGTCCTTCTTTTTCGGTCTCAATTTCATGGATCGAAACAGCGGATATGATGTAGCCGAAAAAATCAAAAGATTATGAGGACTTTCGTCATCTAATTGTTCAAATAATTAGATTTATTTAATAAATTATACCGGCCCAAGTAATGCATTCCTTAATATTTATCACTCGCCATTCATATCTGTAGCAATTTTGATTGCTTGCAAAGCTTGCAAACATCCAATAATTCCGGTCACTAAAAAAAGGAAAATGAAGATTTTATTATTATTATTATTATTTGCTTACGTTGTAAGACAGTTCAAAGTATATAAGCACAGACCGACTCCTAAAACTCCACCATCAGCACAATTTAATACGCTTTCTGGTGGAGGTGGTTTAGGGAATAGGCATCGATAACAAGGTCCTCCTTTGTAATTATATATAGTTAATTGACCATCCATACGTAAGGCACTGCCAGAGACCAAAGGAATTCCGGTCATCACACACGCGTCATTAAGTAGATAACGCGTAGCAACATTATCAGTCGCGTCAATAACTATATCGTATTTTTCAATTATTTCCAGTGCATTGGAACTATCCAAAAGGATTTCGTACGCAACGCATTGACATAAAGAGTTTAACCCTTCAATAGTCATCTTTGCCGATTGTGCTTTAGAAATACCCTCCCGTGATTCATTATGTATTACCTGACGTTGCAAATTTGATTTCTCCACAGTATCATAGTCAATTATTCCAAGTTTGCCTTTCATTAAAAAAGAAAATTAATTCTTCGACTTCTTCATAGATCAGAAATCATTTAATAACATAATAACAATAAAAATTTCTTACCGACACCTGCAGCGGCAAGATAAATGGCTGCAGGTGCACCTAAACCTCCAGCACCTACTAACAATATTGAAGTATTTTTAAGTTTCAATTGACCTATTTAAATTATTTGTGATATGTTAGAAATGATAACGCTTGGAAATTATTTATTCTTTAAAAAAAAAAAAAAAAGTACCTGATTTTCCAAAACCTGGTAGAATGAGTTGTCGACCGTATCGAGTATATTCGGCCAAGCTTAGGTCATTTTTTGCTAAATTAGCTTTTGCTGGAACTTTATCAGAAATTATTGGCTCACTAATTTTCGAATTCTGTTCGAGTTTCTCTTCTAGTTCTTTGACACGTATTTTAAGAAGTTCATTCTCTTCTTTAAGTCGTGAAATTAAATCAGTTAATAAATGGAATTCGCTTTTATCCGCAATAATCTTCGTGGACATGACTGTTACTATAATTGAGGTGTGTTTTTAACATTTACGTGATTTCTCAGTCCACTAAAAATGGCACGATGATCATTACCTTTTATAGTAAAGAAAATTCTGTAATGTATTTTTTTTATCAGTTTTAGTATTTTGCAATAACTATTTTTATTAAGATTATTTGCCATTAAAAAAAATATTAGTAATAAAACAATTGTATAATGCCTTTTATAAATTAAATAATTTTCTAAAAAATTACATAATAAAGTTAATTCAGAAAATACTTAGCAAAAATATTAATTTAGTTTATTACTATCTTTACTAATATATATTTTTACTTTTAATTCTTCTCAAATTTATAAGATATTAATTGACTTTCTGAATATTTAATGAAAACCTTTAAATAAACATAAAGTTTTAATAATTAGCCTATTTTCTATTTTTAAAAATTAAATTTCAAGTTAATATGAAAGGTTTACTAAGAAAATAGGACTCTAAGAATTTTTTAACAAATTTTATTTTTTATTGCATTTTAGTTTTTGATATTATTAAATTAAAATATAATAAGATCTTATTATTCAAATCAAGTGATTTCTCATCATTTTCTTAAATAATTATTTCCTTTATTATTTAAGTTAAATGATTATTCATCATTCTTCTTAAATGATTATTTTATTTATTATTTAAATTGAATAATTTCTTATTATTTTTTTTAAGCAATTGTTTTATTATTCAAATTGAATGATTTTTTATTATTCTTCTTGAATAATGATTACTTATTTTTCTTTTTAAACAATTATTTTTTTATTATTCAAGTTGAACAATTACTTATTATTTTTCTTAAATAATTTTTTATTATTTAAGTTAAATGATTTTTTATAATTCTTCTGAATAAATATTTCTTTTATCATTCAAATTAATTAATTACTTATCATTTTTATTGAACAATTTATTTATTATTCAAGTTTAATGATTTCTTATAATTTTTCTTGAACATTATTATTTTATTATTTAATATAAACAATTTCTTATTATTCTTCTTGAATAATTATTTCTTTTATTATTCAAGTTAATAATTTCTTATTAATCTTTTTAAATAATTATTTTTTATTATAATTTTTCATCAATCTAGTTAAATGATACATTTTATAGTCTATAATATTTATAATAGATCAAATTATATATATTATTAAGACTATAATTAAAGATCACAAATTTTAATTTTTATAGGATTGTGATTTTAGGACTGCAATCTCAAAACTTAGTCTTAAAACTTAGTCCTAGACTCTAATCTTAGACCCAAGTCCTATAGATTGAATTTTCTTTAAAACTAAAAGTTTTAGAATTAAATTTGAATTAAATTGGATTTTAATATTTCTATTAAATATTTTTAAATAAAAATTAGTCATTAGAAATTTAAATAAAATTTAATATAATTTAAAAGGTTATTATATATATTAGATAAAATTATGAAATAAAAAAGGTTGATAAAATTATTAGTAAATTTGAAATTTTTTTTAGAGATCTCTATTAAAAATAAATGAATTCTATTAATTTTTTAATGATACTGAAAGGAATGAAGTAATTAAAAAGAGATTTTTTCCTAAAAGTTTTTACAAGATACTTCTTCTATTATAAAAAATTTAATAAAGACCAGATTTAAAATTTTAAACAAAAGATAGTTACCTAAAAAGTTAATTAAATTGAAAAAGTAATACAAAATGTAAAATATGAAATTATGATTACAAATTTATTAGATTTATGTAATAAGTATTTTAATTTATAAAATAATAAACAATTAAAGTAAGCTTTAAAAATCATAATATTTATTAAATATTGTAATTAACAAGATAATATTTTTTTTAAGAAATATAATATAATCATAATTAAATATATGTTAAACTTTATTTTAATATCAATTTAATCAATTTTTTAAAAAATAAAATCTTAGATCTCTAGAATAATATAATTATAAATAAAAATAATATTATAATATAGATCTTTTAACTCAAATGAGAATGAATAGTATTTTTAGTTGTAAAAAAATATTTATAGAATTAGTATTTCTAATATTACAAATTAAAAAATGCAAGTATTAATTTAAATGGTTTATAATATTCTAAGCATTTTACAAATTTTTTAACTTATTATC